CCGGGGATTGAACCACCAACCTTCCGGTTTGTAGACAATCTACACTTTTTACATTAACATTTTGTTCAGTACACTTGAAGAGACGCCAAAACAATACTTAATGGGAGTGTCATCAACCCCAATCCTGAGAAACCCTGGCTATGACGCTGTTAACTTACTCCAAAAGTTTACACGATTTCATCGTCTTATTCTCATTTTATTATTTGTGCTGTTGCCATATGAATTAATTGGCATTAATTCATGCAGCTACTGATATTTCATTCAGACATCTTTTAGCCACACTTTTAGTGGTGTTTTTTAAAATCCTCTTGTAAAAACACACAAAAAAAGTGTTATTATGAACTGAAGTGAATAAATTGTATTTCCCTTTCAAACCATTCTTAACTGTTAATAAAATATTTGGATTAATTAATAAAATGGACTTTCATATCCCTTTTTATCACTGACCGATATACTGTGTATATATATGGTCTTAAAATTAGGTAAGTGCAATCTCAGATGAACAACATATTATAACGACACAAAGGTATATATTACAATGTGTCATGGTTTATTTGACAAAAATAAAGCCAAAATGGAAAAGCCATGTGTGACAAACTATGTACACCCTATGATTTAATTGCTTGTAGAAACACCTTTAGCAGCAATAATTTGAAGAAATATTTTTTTTGTATGATGGTATCAGTCTTTTGGGCTGCTCTTCTTTACAACTTTGCTTCAGTACATTGAGGTTTGTGGGCATCTGTTTATCTCTTAATGTCCCGCCACAAAATGTCAGTCTGGTTGAGGTCTGGACTTTGACTGGGCCAGTGCAACACTTTGATTCTTTTCTTTTTCAGCCATTCTGTTGTAGATTTGCTGGTGTTCTTGGGTTCATTGTCCAGTTGCATGACCCAATTTCAGCCAAGCTTTAGCTGTCGGACAGATGACTTCACATTTGACTCTAGAATACTTTGGTATACAGAGGAATTCATTATTGACTAAATAACTGCAATGTGCCCAGGTCATGTGGCTGCAAAACAAGCCCAAATCATCACCACTTCACCATTGTGCTTCACAGTTAGTGTTTGTGCTGATATGCTGTGTTTGGTGTTCGCCAATATTTGCTCTGTGCATTATGGCCAAACATCTCCACTTTGGTCTCGTCTGTCTAAAGGACGTTGTTACAAAAGTCTTGAGGTTTGTTCAGATGCAACTTTTCAAACCTAAGCCGTGCTAGTGTAACGAAGGCCAGCTAGTAGTCGCTGTGCGAGTAAACCTCACTCCTCTGATCTCAATAGGCGCTCTAGCGACAGACTTCTGCTTTTTACTCTTGCTGATGATCAGTTAATCAAAGGCATTTGATTAGCAGCGCCTGAATGCTATTCACCCTCTTCATGTGGAAGCAGAGAGGGTGTATGGCTTCTCAATTTTAGCCTAGTTTTTGTTAAATAAATAATGACACAGTCTAATATCAAGTGTTGTTGTTCATCTGTGGTTGTATTTACCAAATTTTAAGACCAGCTAAAGACCAGATGATTTTTTATTATGTCCTGTATCCTGATACGTAAAACCATAGAATTCAATAGGGTGTCCTTTCTTTTTCACATGAATATATATTGGATATAGAAAATATTTGACAGAGTATGTACTGTATAACTAATTCAGAGCCAGATGGGATATGTGACATACTGCCATCACAACATGCAAATGCTTTTAAATTCAATTTGTACCTGGCTTTTTTAGTCAGATTGTTTGATATGTCATTGGCACTATATCTTTTAACTACAGGTGTAAAATGTTGAAAGATGACATTATTCTCCTCACAAGGCAAGAAGGTTAGCAATTCGAGTGTCACTTGCACTTGCAACTGTAATAATGTCACTTTTACATTCATTAAAGTCCTGTGTGACATTTTAAAATGTTAGACTGTTAAGCTGAATCTTTAAAGTTAATTCTTTGACGTCTGGCCATACCTGTTAATTTTATCTCTGAAAACTTTTATTGTTTGTTTTATAATGTTTTTTTTATTAAAGAAATATATTTTTCTTCATTTTATTTTGCCTTTTGTTACTTATTTTGTTACTTATCTTACTTATTACATAGGATAAGCATATAGTGTACACAGGAAATGTTAAGCTTAACAACTCAACATGTCAAAGCACTTTATTTTGAGTAATAATGTACATTTATTATGAAATATCATTATTGAGGGCCTCTCTGCAACAAATCCATCCATAATCTGTGTAAAAAAAAAAAAGAAGCTAAGACTATACAGATACAAACACACATTTGTATCTAAAAAAGAACTTGAACTCTTCATGAAACGCAACCTTTGCTATTCAGCGTAGACTCAGGCTTTTGTGTGGGTGACTCCTCTTGAGTCAGTGTGAGTTTTTTTAATGGGGGTCTCAGAGTTGGTGCATCAGTCCGAGTGACTATATTGCACCTCAAGGGGGTTTAACAAGCCTCCAAACTGCGATTGATGTGGAGCTTATGAACAACAGCACCTAGCTGAGGAGGAGCAGTTAGCATGAGCAAGCCCCAATGACGTGTCCCGTCCTGTGATAGGACAATTATGATGCTTAGGGGTGGGGGCCTCCCTGTGAGGGCTCATGTACAGCCCACGTCAGCCACCCCACGACTAAATCCAGTACAGCATCGTGACGTATAGTGCATGCATGAGCCAGCAACAACTTGAAAGGACTGCAAGAAGTCATCACTGCCTGTTGTCACAATGAGTCAGATATTAGTTGACCTATTTGATGCAAGACAATGAAGTTAATGACACATATTAAACTATTTGGATTATGACTTTAGGTTTATTGTGTGGAACAAATGGATACATTCTCATGGAGAAAAGCTTAAATTTGACTTTGCACAGACTGTATTTTCCAGCACATATTTTAGTTCTAAATCAAGAATGTTTGTTAAAACTTGTAGCATGGAGCACTACGAAATATATCCACCATTGGCAACTATTAAACTTTACTGGTCTTATTCTTTAAATGACAAATTAATTGGAACTTAATGCACTTAAAACTATAGCTGTTAGTTTTATAATTTCTGCAATTAGTTTATACAAGACAAAGAAAGTAAAGAAACACTTTATAATGAGTTAATCAGAAATAATCAGATGCAATTGCTTAAAATGTATAATACTAAGATTATGTTACTGATTACAATTTCATGAGTGCAATTTATAATCAGTACCAGATTACACAGTAATCTACCCGACACTGCCCACATCCATATGAAGTCAGTGATCAGTTGCTATTTTTTTGCATATCTTTAAGTCATTTAAAAGTCATTTGAGTCTCATTTTATTAATCATGCCTTTGTTGTTTTGTTTTATCATTCTTTTGCCACGTATTGTAATAAACCACAAGTAAAGACATAATTGAATTACCACAAGCTATCAGTGGGAGTATTAACTACCTGCAACATAATCAGTCTGTTAGGAACAAGTTTTATTATTTATGCCTCAAGGGATCCTGCAAATATACGCACAGAAATCAGATGCAGTATTACAGACCCAGAGACACAGAAACGCTTTCATTTCTTTGTACCCATATCCTCTTCCTGATTTAATTTAGACCTTATGCAAATGTGTCACTGCATCTTCTGTAAAAATGACAGATTCTTCATTTCCTGTTCCAAGCGATATCGACACAGACATACATTACATTAATCTTTATTAGGCTACTCTTTATCTGCGTGGAATTTGAGACGCAGCTAGATGCAAGTATGATACAAATTGCATAATCATGCTATATTCAGCAAAATCATATTTCTTTAACATTTTTTTAAATCGTTTTTCACTTATCCAAGCTTCCAACCGCTATAGACAATCTTGTTGAACGATGAAGTAGCCAATAGCTTTTTTTTTAGTGTAAGTATTACACAATAGCTTGCAACCTCTAAAACAGTTCCAGTTGTTTTAGTACAAAAAAAAAAGTTTGGTTTCAACATGGGTTGCATGTTTATGTAGCCTAATGGTAAAAAAATATTTAAAAAGTTTAAAAAAAAATGTTGGGTAGGCCTACATTTTTTGTTAAATAGACGCGAACGAACAGAGGTCGATTTCGTCAGAGGTGGTAACCATAGCAACAGTGGGTAGCTCGAGAGAGTTCCATTACAGTCCGATAGGGATGATAGCCTATCATGAGTCATGAGTCATATGTATTAAAAACTTTTTAAAAAAAGTCTTAATATTTGACGTTTAGCTAACGTAGTCACACGATTTGACAAACTGCGTTGCACGAGACGTACAGATTGCGCCACGGAAATACTTTAAAGTTAATAATTTAGCTGACTTTAAATTAGTTTTAAATACACCGAAATTCTTTTTAAATAGCCTAGTCGGTTCACTGAAAATCATTGAGAGAGAGAGAGAGAGAGAGAGAGAGAGAGAGAGAGAGAGAGAGAGAGAGAGAGAGAGAGAGAGAGAGAGAGAGAGAGAGAGAGAGTCCAATCTAGAAGATAATCTGAGTTGTTTAATTGATGAGATGAGACGCATTGATTGCTCGATTAGTCGAGTTTTGATTGGTCAGTGCAATGAAAAGGTACGCCAATCTTTATAGAGTATCATCTGCTGTTTTTGTTGTAGGTATATTCAAATGCCACTCCAACTTAACTCCTTTCATCAAAAACTGCGTACTGACGCAAAACAATCTGAACTTGATTATTGAATTACAATTGACAGACCCTTGTTGCTAGGCTATATCTGCTCATAAAGAATAAGGTAGCCTACATATTTAATAAGAAACTTTCATGAAAAAATCATGTAAGCTTCAAGATTGTCATGTTCATGTTCATTTTAACTTACGTCTCATATTCAATAATAACTGATCTGCAACTCAACATCAGCAATGATCTTGATGAAAATGTCTAGTGAGTTGTATTACGAATGTGTTTATGATTGACGTATATGATGTGGAGTTGGGGGCAGCGCTACTGTCATTTCCACCGCCCGGCTCGTGTTTACGCAAGGCGCAGCACTGTATATAAAGCACTTGAGGTGCAGGCAGGACAGATCCGTGAGTGTAACTTCTTATTGCTGAGAGACCTCACAAAGATTCGGGAGACGCAAAAAGAACATTGGAACAAGAAACTTCAGGGTTCCAGTCCAGAGAAATAACTGTACCTAAACTCGTTAACTGCTGAAAGTAAGTTTTTATTGTGATTATCATTCTGCATGTGGAGGCGCCAAATCAGGAGTTGCGTTACGTGATAAATTTGACTTGAAGTGCTGTGGGAAATCTAGGCATTATTGTTTCCATTAATGTTAAATTCATTCTGTTTGCTATGCGGATACAAAATATGTTTTCAGTATATGTCATTTTTGTTAGTACGAGCACATTCAGCACCATGGACAGCAGACACAAACAATTAGTCAAGTTCATTCATAGCCTATACTACTTGTAATTATCTGCTATGAAAAAGGCGCGATAGACTAGATTAAAATAAAAATGTATTCATAATTATTAGGGTATTATTCAATCACTTCACAAAAGTTTTTATCGTATTCTACGCAAACCAAAGTGATTCATTGCTTCATGCAGTTCAAACCGTCTTGATCTCAGTTGTTTTCGTTTTTTAACTTTCGATTGATTCAAATGATAATTCTGACAAATAATTCCGAATTTCAAAGAGATATTTTGTAAGTTTTTGCAATCGTATTGACTGCAGTGTAGCGTGCACATGCAGCTATCATGCAAATCAGAATCTTACACAACTACTAGGCTAAATATGCATATCAAAAACCGATTTACGCTTTCCCACCTGTTGTCGCTCCCTCACTTAGATCCATTCAGACGTTTTATAAAACTCAGTCCACACGTGTACTGCATGTAAGGAAATAAAAAGCGAGTTGTATTTTTCAGATGGCTGTCATACTGAAGCCCTGGACCGTCATCGCTACTCTTCTCTTCTGCGTGCTCCTGTGTCTCGGGACGCTTGTGGACGCCTATCCGCCGAAACCAGAGAATCCTGGAGACGACGCTGCTCCGGAGGAACTCGCCAAATATTACACCGCGCTGAGACACTACATCAACCTCATCACGAGACAACGGTGAGAAAGACACGCGGTGTATCATACAAACGCACCTGTAGTTATTATCTTTGCTTAAAATGTTCTTATTATCACCCGAACAGGTGACCATGATAAAAAAAAAATCATTTCCCGTTAGTGTCAGTGCACTGTCTCCCATTAATATATCAGGACAAATGACTAAATTCTGCAATAGGATTCTAAAATTGCATTATGGTCCACTTTTCAGTAGCCAAAGGCTCTTCATATAACAAATCAGAGTGATAAAACCCAACAGATGCACCTCGGAGAAGCCTCCAAGATTGAATAGGGTTCTCGTCTGTCATAGATTGATGTTTCTCTGCAGCCCTGTCCTATAGAGGACTACATTTATTTACATATTTATAGTCTAACAGGCCTTTGACATTCAGAGCTAGCAAAACATTCCAATAAAAACATTTACATTAAATTATTTTCTCTCCCCACAATACACCTTTATTCCATGGCCTCATACTCTGTTAGTCCACCAAAGAACCTAAAGTCTTGCCTGTATAAGAGGTCAAAATGAAAATATATGATGCCTATCTGAGATAAAACAAACAGACGTGATGGTTCAAGCAGCTAAACCATGATTATGTCACAGTCGTGACTACATTAAATGAATATAGCCACTTCACAAAGTATTGCCGATGTCCGCAGGTGGGATTCTGTAGAGCTCATGTTTCAGAAATAGCTATAACATTAGTTTAGTCTCAGACTCATTGATGTTGCTTGTAGGCATCTAGGAGGAATCTGAGCATGAAATTGTTTTTTTATTCGAGTGCCAACCCAATGCCCTTTTAGCTTGTTTTCAGCATAGGCCTATTCATCTGGAAGATGCTGTTCTGAGAGAAATAATACTCAATTGTCTCAGGTCCATATTTAAACTCTTTGCTCCATTTCCACTAAATGTTCTCTAAAATTGACATTCGTGTTTTTTCTAAAGATTAGAGGCTTCATTCATATCATCTGTGAGATAAATGTCAGAGTCTTCTAGGTGACATGTCTCAAACACATTCAGCTTTCAAGCAGTCAAAAAAAACATTGAACTGCTAAATTAGATTCATAACGTCTGGGGTGAAAAGACAGTTTGTATTTATATCGGTGATTGGTGTCTGACAGATAAAGTGGGCTGACTAGTTCTTTTCACTTTCTGACACTTTCACACACCACAGTGAGCTCACTGTGTGAGCAATTTGAGATCATTATTTCAGTACTGAAATGTTCCCAGCTAAGATACACGGATGGAATGAAGTAATGAGGGAATAAATTGTCATATTTCTTACATGCAGGTATGGGAAAAGGTCCACTTCGGAAGATGTGATGGCAGAGCTGCTGTTCGGGGACGATACAGAGCACAAACAGAGATCAAGGTGGGAGTCTTTTTTACTTTAGCTATAATTTTAATGTTAATTGCTAATGGGCTTGTTAGTATATTTACAACAATAAAGCAGATAAACAAAAGTTTCCTGATTTACATGGTATTCTAAAGGTATTTGGGGTGAATGCAGTTTTTTAAAAATCCTCTGAACTCATTCACAAAGGGTGATAGGTTGTGTGTTAATGGGAAGGAGGACAACTCGTGAATTTTTCACACCTGTTGAGGAATAAGGGGACAGATGGATCCCTGGCTCCTTTTCTCTCTGTCCGTCAGGAAGGGAGTGGGTTAGGGAACATGACGCACAGTGAATATTTGAAAGGCCTTGACATTTAAGAGCCCTTATTAGGCCTCAAAATAAAAAGTCACACTGTGCTAGCTAATTGAAAACTGTAATAGACTGACAGAAATTGTAGCATTGATTAGAAGATGGAAAGATTTAAAGGTGAAATACTATCAGTGTAAACATTCGGAATAGGGAATAAACTATATTGATGTCAGTAAAAAAAAAAAGTTGATTGTTTATTTATTTTTTACATGTGTCTCTTTCAGATATGATGACTCTTATATGTGGTGAAGTTCAGTGACCGTGTGTTGACTGTCCTGAGCTAAGCCCACCTGTGCCTCCCACAGAAAACCTCCAGACAATTAAATGAGAACATCAGACAACCTCATCCATCTCTTTATTATACATCATCTCTTTTTTTCTTTGGTGCGCACAGAACAAATCTCACTATTAACAACTGTACATAATATATTATAATAGGAACTATCAATGGAAGTGTATGTGTGTATATTTCATTGTGTCATTCAGAAATTATGTTTTTTCGTTTGTACCATGTAAATTATATGTGATTAAAAGTTTATTGGATGAATCTGGCTATTTATTTTGCTCTGGTTTTTGGAAAGGCTGTACCATATACCGTAAAGACAAATGAAAAGTTAGGTTTATTTTAAGTTATTATTATTATTTAATATAATTTAGTCTGATCGTAGTACATTTTCAAAATACCTAGTTGTTCTCTTTATAAGGTTATTTCTAAATGACCAGCAGATGTCCCTCCTGTAACATAAAATAAAACTCTTTTAGATTCCACGCGTCAATAACATTTAGGCAAAATACCTCAATTTTATAAAACATTTTGACCAGAAGTCATTGCTAACATCTCATTCTACAAAAACAACTCCTCAGACAATTATTGAACAGCAAAATGTAAATGAATGAAAGATAACACTTAGGGTCACTATGTGTGGTAATATTTATTTAATGACGTGATGGTCTCGACTTATTTTAAACACATTTAGCAGAAGAAATGTTCGCTGTTGAACCTGCAAATGCACATTACTCAACTGTTTGGCACTGTTATGTAAATGAATGGAGAACATTTAAAGCGGGCTGTCGAGAACATTCTATTGTTAACGCGGCCCTATAGCTAAACATCAGCTGGTGGGTCCCACCTTCTGAGACATTTGAGCGTTGCCCCTTTATGTCTACGCAATGACTAGACTCTGATTTGATGCTTTGTAGCGGGGTAGACACCTCTCATAGAATCAAAACAACGCAACGAAGCTATACGGGAAAGGTTAGTATCTCTTTTTATGATAAAAATAATTTCAGAATGACCTATTTTTCGTGTTGATGTAGCCCTCTAAACGTATTCATTTAGGGATGCAAACCATATAGTCGTTTCATCTGTATTGTGTTGTCGTCTTATTGTTGTTAACGTTACACGGTTAGGAAATGATGAATTCATCTATTGTTTAACGCGTCGGGAGTTTTTGTTTCTCCATTGGCATGATATTCTTTTATTCATCAAGTTTAAGTGAAATGTGAATGCTAATTAGTGTAATTTAGGACTGCATCAGATATTTGTTGGTATTGCTTCTCCATATTGTTGGCGGTGAGTTAAATTCTTGAACCTCCTTTTTTTCATTATTATCAGCACTTATATTACAGTTATTCACTGAATAACTGCAAGAGAACCTGTGATCAGAATGTAGAGATACACTTTATAGTGCCTATGAATTGAGCTAGGCCTACTTTATTAAGGGTGTAACGAAGGTATAGGCTACAAAATAACTAAAACATTATTATGAAGAGCATTTTGAGAGCTCTAAAAAGTATAGTAGACATTATTATAGGCTACAGCAATTAGTTCTGGTCCTCTAATGTAATTGGTCGAATTCCATGAAGTCGCAAATTTATTATAACAGCTCTGGGACGTTTTAGTGTCCGAAATCGCACCCATGTCCTTATATATTACACTTTCTTTGGTGTCAAGAGATTTTGTAATTGTATTCGAAACCATTGTGGAGTGGGTTTATGGCGTTATTATCCTGTCCAATGTCGAGAGCGCATTATTGTAGCGCGAAAGTACATTAATATTATGCGCGAGCGTGAATCTCTCTGCTCGCGCGCGGAATATGATGTGCCGAGCGTGAATCTCTCTGCTCGCGCGCGGAATATGATGTGCCGAGCGTGAATCTCTCTGCTCGCGCGCGGGAACTGGGCACGCGCTCTCAGATACACTTCTCTTGTAAGAATTCTCTCTCTGGGCTGAGTGGGCTCGCTGCCTCGCTCAGAGAATATGCCTGCACTTAAAACGTGTTCAGTGCAATCGCGAATCGCTCCTCTTCCCCGCAGCTAACAATTTTAGGTTATAAGAACGTTTTCATAACGTTCCCATTAAGTTATAAAAACGTTATTTCTGAATGTTCTAGGGAATTTCAAAAAGTCCAGTTTTTTAGACGTTGTATTAACGTTATTTCTTGGTTATAAGAAAGTTCAATTCTCCCGTTATGTAAACGTTGTATTAATGTTATTTCCTGGTTATAATAACGTTAGAACGTTCAATTCTCCCTTTATGTTATAAGAACGTTATTCAAACGTTCAATTCTCCCATTATATAAACCTTCTCTTAATGTTTTTCTAAGATAATGAAAAACGTTTCATTCAATAAAAAAAACATTAAGAAATGTTTTAATAATTATTAAAACCTTTCTTAATGTTTTTTATATAACAAGGTAGCCTATATAATAGGCCTAGCCTATATGAAGAACCTAAAATAAATAAAAAAAGACCCATGAATCATGTCTATAATATGTGTAATGTAGTCCACTGAAGTCGAGTTGAATTGAACCCAAGTAGGCCTATAGTTTATTCCAGTAAACCGATTTGGGTTGAAGTGACCATATGAAATTAACATGAACATAAACTTGGACTAAACATAGAATCACCAACAATGGTACAGGGAACAAAGCTAGACAAGAGACAATGGGAACACAAGGACAAGGATTATGACCAAAAACAACCAATGACATCCACAAGTTAAAGTTAATTTAATTTATATAGCTCATTTTTACAACAATTTCCAAGTTTATGTTCATGTTAATTTCATATGGTCACTTCAACCCAAATCGGTTTATTGGAATAAACTATAGGCCTACTTGGGTTCAATTCAACTCGACTTCAGTGGACTACATTACACATATTATAGACATGATTCATGGGTCTTTTTTATTTATTTTTGTCTTAATTTTAAAATCTGAAAGTTCTTGTTTTAGGTTCTATAGGCCTATTATATAGGCTACCTTGTTATGAATGAAACGTTTTTCATTATCTTAGAAAAACATTAAGAGAACGTTTATATAATGGGAGAATTGAACGTGTGAATAACTTCTTATAAGTTAACCAAGCAAGAACGTTAATACAACGTTTATATAAAGGGAGAATTGAACGTTCTAACGTTATTATCACCAGGAAATAACATTAATACAACGTTTACATAACGGGAGAATTGAACGGTCTTATAACCAAGAAATAACGTTAATACAACGTCTAAAAAACTGGACTTTTTGAAATTCCCTAGAACATTCAGAAATAACGTTTTTATAACTTAATGGGAACGTTATGAAAACGTTCTTATAACCTACAATTGTTAGCTGGGGAAGAGGAGCAATTCGCGATTGCACTGAACACGTTTTTAAGTGCAGGCATATTCTCTGAGCGAGGCAGCGAGCCCACTCAGCCCAGAGAGAGAATTCTTACAAGAGAAGTGTATCTGAGAGCACGTGCCCAGTTCCCGCGCGCGAGCAGAGAGATTCGCGCTGGGCATATCATATTCCGCGCGCGAGCAGAGAGATTCACGCTCGGCACATCATATTCCGCGCGCGAGCAGAGAGATTCACGCTCGGCACATCATATTCCGCGCGCGAGCAGAGAGATTCACGCTCGGCACATCATATTCCGCGCGCGAGCAGAGAGATTCACGCTCGGCACATCATATTCCGCGCGCGAGCAGAGAGATTCACGCTCGCGCATAATATTAATGTACTTTCGCGCTACAATAATGCGCTCTCGACATTGGACAGGATAATAACGCCATATGGGTTGCCTAGTTCACTTATTCAATACTAAAAATGTATTAAAGCACAAAGGAATAAAAACTTGATGGTTGGTGGTGCTTTTATTTTGTGTTTGGTGACTGAAAACTTATTTATGATACCATTACACTAGCAGATTTAAAGCGTTAATGCCTATAGGAATATTATTTATGTGCTGTCAAAATCAGGTGATTAAAAGCAGAGAATAATCTGGCATAGTCTCAGCTTCTTGTTATGGTTCCTTAAAGGGGACTCAGATGTATTTGTCTGTGCTGGAGACAGATGGGCCATGCCTTTTTCTGGCTCAAAGGGAGCAGATGGAGAGCGTGGCTGCTTGTGATGTGGGCAGGGCCAGACCAGGGTGTCATTAGCACGGTGGGGCTCAGCGGGGTCTGCAGGAAGGATGGGAATGGAAGGAGGTGTGGGCCTCAAGAGTTGCCAATACATGATAAATTCACCATCCCTCCCTTTTATAAAGGGCTAGAGGAAGACCCCCTCGTGCCTTCTCTCATGGGATCTCACTCAGATGCTGAGTTTGCATTGATTCACACCTGGCCGAAACACAGTGGTGCAGTCTTTTTGGTAATGAGATTGAAATGTGAGCTTGAGCATATCCCATGTTTAGCTGACAGCTCTCCATGGGAATTTGGGAATTGACATCAAATATTAGACCCTTCAGCTAAAGCCATCTGAGAGAGTTTCGGGCAGTTGACAGAACTTTTTTTATTTTATTTATGATTTATTTTATCTTTATTTTGTTTTTGGAGTTTAGGAGTAATTTTCAGATATTATTGCAAATCTAATTAAATTAAAATATATTGATGAATTATTTAAAAGATAAATATTAAATGTAATATAATATATAGGCTAATACAAGGCAAGCGAAAACAGATCCATGATTTTTAGTTGATCCATATAGTTTGCTTTGTTTTTGAGGTGTACTGTTTTTAAAAATATATATATTACTTTTAATCAATACCTGTTCTAAATGTTTTAAAACCTTAAGAATATGTGTTACTTAAAAAAAGAAAACGTTAACTGAAATACAATAAAATATTGCAAAAGAAAATTCAACTATTATTGAAATTTGTTTAAACAATTTTCATTTTTATTTAGTTTAACTTGATGTACTAAAATAACTAAAACTGAAAACAAAATAAAAATTAATAAAATCTGCATAGAAATATTGGGGGGAAAAAAACGACTGACAAAAATGGCAAAACAAATTTACTAAAACTTTAGCTAAAACGAAAATGAAAAAAGAAAATGAATATAAAACAATTCCAAAATATTAGTGAAAACTATAATAGTATCTCAGATACTAAAATAACACTGATTTGGACTCTTGGAAAGAACTAGCATCAATTGTTTGCATTATTATTCAAACATTTATGGTTCAAATATATATTGGGCCCGCTGTGTATTTTTTTATTTTTTTATTTTTAAGTTTTGACATGATATTTTGCTTTGCTTTGTTTTGTTTTCCCCCAGCAACA